TAAAAATACAAAGTGTCACAGCCACACTATTACTGGGGAAATTGCTGACTTTCATTTTTACCATATAATTATAAAATAAATCGATTGGAATATAAATATTGTACTTACATTTGGTGTATAGCAGTGGTTCTCAAACTTTTGTACTGGTGACCCCTTCACATACCAAGCCTCTGAGTGCAACCCCCCCTTATAAATTAAAAACACTTTTTTATATATTTAACACCATTAGAAATGCTGGAGGCAAAGCAGGGTTTAGGATGGAGGCTGACAGCTCACAACCCCCCATGTAATAACCTCGTGATCCCCTGCGGGGTCCCAACCCCCAGTTTGAGAACCCCTGGTGTATAGTATATAGAGCAATATAAACAAGTCGTATGAAATTTTAGCTTGTACTGACTTTGCTAGTGTTCTTTATGTAGCCTGTTGTAAAACTAGGCAAAAACCCAGATGAGTTGATGTACCACTTGGAAGACCTCTGTGTATCCCCAAGGGTACATGTACCCCTGGTTGAGCGTCACTGCTATAGAATGAAGCTGTTAGGTTTCCAGCATTGCAGGTGAATGCCCCAACTTCAAACAAATGAGATTCTTTGAAACCCTTTAATGAAATTCTCTTGTTCAAATCTGACTTTTTAAAACCTGCATTTGGAGCCAGGCGCCTTCCTCTCAAGGTGCTGCTGTGTAGCTTGTCTTTTAAAACTAGTTTAAATGAGAAATAAGAGGCCAACATAGTTGGATCATTCCTGACTTGGCAAAGGAAGCTGCCAGAAGCTACCTTGCTCACTGTGTTCTCTGGGGAAATGGCTGCAATATCCTATTTTTTCCCTTATAAATTCTGCTGTGTCATGTTTGTCCTCAGATGGAGGTGATAAGGATGCCCGCGATGCAGTACAGATGCGCTTGGAACAGAGACTCCGGGATGGTTTGGAGGATGGGTCTGTTTCAGGGCAACAGATTGGGACCTTTGAGAAATATACCAAGGTAACGCTAGAACATGTGCTGCTCGTGGTGTCTGGGCTGGAGGCAAGTGAGAGTTGGCCAGTGGAGGCTTGAAATGACAGAGAAATACAGGACTTGGACTAACTCGCAAACTTTTTTCTCTTCGGGTTGCTTTTCAAAGTTATTTATAAATCCCTGTAAAAGTGCAGGCATCATGGAGCTGGGTTTTAGTTAGGGGCATATTGGGGAGGTTGGGGGCTTTAGAAATGCATGTAACCGCTGCAGAAGACACTTGGCCAGGACTGACTAGCCCTCTTATTAAGGCTCTGCAACAGGGGCTATTGATGAAGCTTGATCCCTTGGTGTGTCACTGACCTCAGTGTAATAACTTGGCCCACTCACTCCCAGAATTGATGCTGGTTTACGTGGAGTGGTTTCTTCTCTTCCAGGGTATTGGCAGGAAGGTGTTGGAGAGGCAGGGCTGGATGGAGGGGCGAGGTCTGGGGAGCAGCAACTCTGGAATGGCTGAAGCGTTGGACAATGAGGGTCAGCATCCCAAGTGCAAGAGAGGATTGGGGTAAGTGCTACAAACTCCTGGCATTCTTTGCTTGTGCACAGTGCCACTCAAAGGCCCCATACCAAGAGGGAAAATGTAGTAGGTAATTGACAAAAGAACGTTCCTGAGCAGTCAAAACTGGAGGGATGTCCCAGGGATTCTGCAGCAGTCTCTATAGGCAGCATTGATGTGAGTATTGAGGATACAACTCGTGCCATCTAGAGGTGAATGGAATATGCTTCTGTCCTCGTGGCTGTGCCGCTCAAGTGAGATCAAGTCCTGAATCTTGGACCCTTGTTTTTGCTACTCGGCAGTCCTCCATCAATACATGGATTGTCCGTAATGGCTCCGGCTCTTGCTTTGTGAACTGTTTCTTTGCTTCCTTATAGGGGAGCTTGAAACAAACGTGGCTTGTGACATCAGTGATGCTGGTGATGGGGTGTGCAGAGTTTTGGAAACTAAACTGCTGCAGCAGAGCCAACAGGGGGTGGTACCTACAGTACTCTTTTGCTTGCAGATCCAGTGAGAGTGGAAACAACTGATCCATGTGCAGATGCTATGTGCAGACCTAGTAAACGTTATTAATTGTTCTGTCTCAGCTTTGAGTCCGCCAGCTCAGGCTTTATGCCTAAACTGCTTCGGATTCTCTGCACCTTCAGAGCTCCTTGCATTTATAGACCCTCAGATACTTTACAAACATGCCTCTTAACGGCCTGCAAAACAGAGATTCGCTCACTTTGGAGCCATGCTAGTGAAACTATACCTAGAGGTCGGTGCCAGTCAGGAACAGGACCTAGGAGCCGTGATTCCTAGTCCCCATGCTCTAACCAGGGGCCTGGCCCTTCCTTTTATTAGCATTTGGTAAATATGGGCTAGTGTAGAGTGATTTTTCGTGTCCTAAACAACAATGCACTGAAACACTGCTCTCTGCCCACACCTCTCTAGGTACCATGGAGAGAAACTGCAGACTTTCAGCAAGCCGAAAAAACCTCGCCGGGATGGCCCCATCCTCATCTCCACAATCTACGATGAGCCCCAGCCTGTAGACAGTGGGGACCAGCTACTCCGGCGCCAGCTGCCCACTGCCATGAAGTACAGACAAGACATGGCATTTGTCCGAGCGACTCAGAGTGCTCACCAGAGGCCCGGTGCCTCATGAGAGTTGCTGCTGAACAGAGACTTGGGGACTCATTCATTAGAGCAATAGCAGAACCTTTATATTAGAACAGCCTCTTCTGTGCTCCTTTGTTACCTGGAGGCTGACTTCTCCTGCTGTCTGATCCTAAGCAAAATGTTAATATATTTTCTGGACTCTTTTGTAGCACGCAAGTCTTTCTGTTTTAACAATTGCTGTATTAGGAGGGGGTCCCAGTATCCCTGCCACCAGCTGAGGTCTTTGATCCTGTTTGTTTGGCAGGGGGAAGGTTAAGCTTCTAATGAGTGTTAACACGAATGCTGTAAGCAAGGCTGCTGTGCGTTTTGTTTAGGCTCCTGCAGTGAGATGTTTTCAGGTGAACTGTCTGCAAGCAGGCTTGAGCTCATCTCTTAATCTCAGGAAGAAATGTAACTGTCTTCTAGAAAACTTACTACTGGTCCAGAGCATCATTCAGTCAATGGCATTTACACTGCACTCAAATGAAAACTTCCTGAGGCCAAATGACCCTTTTGGTGGCCTTCACTGGACTAAGTGCTGAAGATAAAATGAAGACTTTTCTATAGGAGTAGTGAGACTAGCTGTGCTTCCTCTGTGTCAGGTGCTGCACAAAGTGGGTAAAACCACAGGCTACGATGTGCACCTCAAGCTCTGCTACCTTCTCCAGTGACTAGCACTTGTGCTTTTTTTACCCCCCATGTACTTAGCTACACACTTCTCCACTACACACTACCTTCTCCCTCAGGGCTTTGCACTGCAGCATGAAGAACTAATTAGCAGCAGGATCTGCTCAGGAAGCCTGTAGCCTGTGCCTGTTGACATGGCCAGTTTATGCCACAGCCATAGACTGTGACTATGTGGTGAGAGGAATGCAGAGTTCAGGTTTCTGTTCTCTCTTTACAGTTTTAGTTAGCATGAGCTCTGTGTTTAGAAAGCTCAGTGCTCACCTAGACATCACCTCCTAACTAGTTTAGCACAGGCTACAACTATAGTTTCTCTTCCTTCAATCAAATGTGCTTGTTAAAACAACACATGCTAAACCTTGTACCTTCCTCTTTGGCTTGACAACTGCTTTACCCCTGGAATACCATGGCAGAAAAGTACCAGCTGTGGGCTGAGCCCTTTGTAAACAAGGTTTAGAAACAGCCTGTGGGAAAGAGTTTGATCTAATTATCTACTCCTACGGTGGCACTAAAATTAGTTTAAGGATGTACAGTAACTTCCATTTGTCACAAACCTCTGAGAGCCTCCTCGGCTAGAAGGCCTAGTCTGCATCATCCATAGCCTGGCTCTGGGGAATCATCCACTGAGACTAGATGCCAGTTTCTCACACAGAATGAACACACGGAAACTCATGCCTATTAATTTTTAACAATAGCTGGGCAAATTCCTTTTAGGGTTTACTAATCTAAGGCCTGATCAAGAAGTTTAACTCCATTTTCCAGATTTTAAAAATCTATCTGAACAGCATGTAGCCCAATGGAGTCTGGCTGATGAGTGCTAATCCTAGGCCCCCTCATACAAAAATTTTAAACATGTAACACCCAACTATTTATTAGGGATGGGGCAGAGCTCCTTTCTCAGGTAAATCTCTATTACTAAAGAAGCTTCTTGCTCTCCTGTAGAAATAAAGGGGTTAATCTGTAAATAAAAGCTTTGTCACTGCATGACATGCCCCTGGCTAGCAGTGACTGAGTGCTGTGTGAATGCTCCCCTCTTTTCAGCTGGACCAACCTGTGACGAAGGCCACCCAGCTGCCTCTTACTCACTACCGGAGCTGTTACTTACAATGGCATGGGTTCCCTCTGTGAGGGGGCTGAGGTCTCGCCTTAAGGCTGGGGGTGGATTATTGTTAATGGTGTTTCACACCAGTGTGGTGGCTCTGCCTTAATTTTAAATTAATTAGCTTAGGGCTGTGGGGGTGGGAATGGAGCCCCACAGTGTTTATGGTCCTGGATAAATAATTTCTTTTTTGGGGGGGGTCCTCTGTCCTGCACTTGGGCCCTTGGGCAGGCCGGGAAGCTATAAACAGCAAAACCAACTTTAGTGCTTGGCCGCATCGGGGCAGGCTGCCTGTTTCCCCCCCCCCCCCAAGGCTGTATGGGGCGGGGGGGGCTCTCCCTAGGGCAAGGGGTGAAGCTGTGCTGTGCTAGCTCCTATGGCACCAGAGCCCCTGGGATTTCCCTGTCTGCTTCAGTTTCCTACCTTCCCCGTGTGGCCGCCAGGGGGCGCTAATCTCCTAGCTCAGCCCTGCCCGGCGGGGGCAGCGCCTCATGAATATTCATTACGTTATTATAATGAGGCTGTAGCGCTGAAGATCCTGCGGCTCCCGGAACCTTCCCGCTCGCTTCCGCCCAGGCAGCCGGACCCGAGTAGCTGGGACACGCGCCGGAAGTGGCGGGCCGGGGAAGAGGGAGGGTCCGGGCGGAGCCGCGGAGGTGAGGCTGCTCGGGGCCGGGGGTCGTTGAGGGGGTTTCGGGCTCCGCCCGCCCGCTGCTCACACGGGGCCTGGCGGGGCGGGGGCAGCGCGGCCCCCCCTTCCCTTCTCCCCCCCCCAGTGCCTCAGGGACAGGCTGGGAGCCGGGCGGGGGTGGGCGGGCAACTCCCCCGGGACGGGCCCCAGGCCCCTCAGCGACCCCCCCCCCACTGAGTGGGGCTGCGCCCCTCAGCCTCAGAGACCCCCGCCCCACTGACGGCCACTGCACCCCCCCAGTCCCAGAGAGACCCCCAGAGACCCCCCCAACCCCACTGAACCCCCAGAGACACCCCACGTTCACAGGGTGTATTTAATTTGAATAATGTGTACGAGGCTTTGTTGTTTCATTCATAAACAGTAACGATAAATAGCGTAATGCGCTAAACATTGCATGTGATCATGTCAGAGATGCATAAAAGAACTGGTGAATTGCCTGTTTCAAATGATTTGAACATTTACTTGGCCTGGGGTTATGATTGACACCCCCCCCCCTCCACACACACACACACCCACACTTTTTTCGGACTACTTTATGCACTGGCTTTAACCCTATTGGACCCCTGGGCACCTGCTCCTTTCGGCCATCCAACCCCCTGCCCAGCCTTCCCCAGACCCTCATCTCTCTAAGCTTCTCCAGATCTCCCAGACATCTCATAATGGCCCTTGCTCTTTACCCTCAGTGGTCTAACCTCCCTCAGGTTCCCTCCCCAGGGGCCAAACCTCCCTTACCCACCTGCTTCCCCCTGGCCTCGCCACCCCAGTCTCTCATCCCTCTCCATTATCTCCCAGATCTCCTCCCCAGCCATGCTCCCATCAGTGACCCCACAAAGCTGAGCCTGGCCGTGAGGAGGTGTTACAGGCTCCAGGGTCTTAAATAATTGTGCTTCCTGTGGTTTCTAAGCTTTCTGCCCAGGGATTTTTCTCTTGGGTTTGATATTATTATTTTTACTAGCTTGAGAACCCTCTACACTGACTTGACTTTGTGTCCCAAAATGAGATTGACCTCTGAATTATAACATCAACCGAAAGCCATCTTCATCCAGTGGAAAAATAAATTCCTCTGAACATCCACGTGCAGGAATCCCTGTCATATTGCAAGGGTGACCGTAATGCGTGTGTCTGAAAGTAACAGTCCTAGACAGGCTGAAAGAACTTCAAAGGCACTCAACATCTTATCAGCAAGAATCTGAATCTCCTCCCTTCAGTGGCGTAGCCCTGTGTATTGTGGTTATTTTCTGCAGCTGGTTTGGGCCTGTGGACAGGCTGAGATATTGCCTACTCCAGTGCCTGGAAGGGACTGGAGACTGTCCAGACTGGAAGGATAAAATGAGGTTTACTCCCCTGTCTTGGCATGGTCCCTCCATCTCGCTCAGGAGGTGGAAGGGGGGTTTCACATGATAGGCCCTCCCAGGTCTGAGAATTACTTGTCAACTTCAGTTTTCAATGCATAATATTCCTATAAACACGAATAAAGGGCACCGTCTTAACCTTTTCCTTTCTCTTTCTAGGAGGAGAAAGAAATGAGCTGACATGTCAGAAAACCATGTGTCTTCCCTGGCCTTTGGCCAGGCAGTGATTGGGCCACCTGGCTCGGGGAAGACCACTTACTGCTTTGGCATGCAGGAATTCATGTCCAAGATTGGGCGGAAGGTGGCTGTGGTGAATTTGGACCCAGCCAATGAAGGGACTCCCTATCAGTGTGCTGTGGACATCTCAGAGCTTATCACCCTGGCTGATGTGATGGATAATCTGAAGCTGGGGCCCAATGGCGGTTTGATCTATTGCATGGAGTACCTGGAAGCCAATTTTGACTGGCTGCAGGAAAAGCTGGCTAAACTCAAGGGTCATTACTTTTTGTTTGACTGCCCAGGGCAGGTAGAACTCTGCACCCACCATGGCGCATTGAAAAACGTCTTTGCACAGTTAGCTAAGTGGAACTTCAGGGTATGTTTTGGGTTTTATTATAGTAATAAGATGGTTCAGCTCCCGTAGCTCTCGCATGTTTGCTGAATCATGTTTAAAAGTGTTAAACGTCTTGCAGATAGGCCTTATGAATCTGTGGACTGTCTGTAATAATTAATGATATGCTTTTGCTGTGTATTGGTCCATTCAGCCAAGTATATCAAAGCACTTTACAAAGGTAGGAAAGTATTTTGTGGGGAACAAGGCACAAAGAGGACTTGCCCAAGGCCACCCAGCAAGTCAAAAGAATAGAATCCAGGGCTCTTCCCTCCCAGTCCTTTGTAGAAAGACACCAGGAGTAGAGCAAAGCTTACACATTTTAACCCAGTGAACGTTGTAGCTTGAGATAGGGAGGAATGTTTGTATGCCAGATTATTAGGGACCTGTAGGATTCTATCCCAAGAAATTCAAATGATCTTTCAAGATGTGTAACTCAGATCTCATTCAGTTAACAAAAATTGTGGTGCAAATTGTATTTTAATGTTTGATGCAAACATTTACATTAATTCAACATTCTTGTACATTGAAACACACAAGCCAGCAAATGAACAAGTGAAGGTTTCCATAATAAAACTAGCTTGCTCACATTACATATATCTCATACTTTGGATTACTGGCTAGACCATTAATGTATAACCAGTATACAGGACAATCAAGGAAGGTAAGGTAATTTTACTTGAGAACCTTATTTAGAATCTTAACTTTTGCATTTGTGTGTGTGTTCGAATAAACAAATGTGACGTTGCATTCACATAGTTTTTGTATTTAATTTTTATCCTTTTTTGGAAAAAGAAAAATCACTATAGAGTTGCGTAGTTGAGTTCTTGTGCAGGTCTCTAAGCTTCAGTACTCTATAGATACAGGAAAAAATGTAGCTGTTGACACAATTGAACTCTGTAATATGGAGCTATACATTTGTGCAATTTTGTAGTATGACAGGTAGTAACATAACTAAAATCCTAAACCAGTCTGTTTCATATGTATGAAAAATTATTAATCAAATTGTTTATAAATGTATTAACTCTTTCACAAACCACACTGACTGTTCATCCTACAGAAGTTTGATGTTCTAAAATTACTGTTGTTGAGTTATTTTGGGGGGTGAATTTTTCTATGGGAAAGGTAAAAAAATTGCATATAGTCCAGTAATTCAAAACTGGATTTAACACGGACTTCCATCACCTTTGGGCTGAGACCAAGCATGGAAAGTTTCATCCCCAAAGGAAAGAAATTCCAAGCAAGTGAATAGAGGGGCTGAAGTGGAAGAAGAGTTGCAACTTTAACAGTCTCTCTTGTTGTTGGTGAAAGTTTGGCACGTCTATAACATTTTTTCATTCTTAGATACTAAAGTACTTTATAAAAGTGGGTCAATATCATTATCCCCATTGTACAGATGAGGAAACTGAGTCATAGCAAAGTGATTTTCACAAGGTCATTCAGCAAATCAGTGACAAAGGTGGGAAAACAATCCAGGTCTTCCGACTCTTTGGTTAATATACTATACAGTGGATCATGTTTAGTGGTCACACGTATACAAATAAGTATATGAAACATCTAGGGAGAAGTTGGCTGACTTTTTTTTTTCTGCTTAGAACTGCTAAGGGCTGGATGCCTTTATCTTTCTCCTGTGTCACAGATTTGCCTTAGTGACTTCTGCATGTTTGCATAGGCAGATTCTGCCCTGCCTCTGATTTTGCACTATTTCTCTCTTGTTTCCATTTTGCAGTTGGCTGCAGTTCATTTGGTGGATTCTCACTACTGCACAGACCCTGGAAAGTTCATCTCAGTTCTTTGCACCTCCCTCTCAACCATGCTGCATGTGGAATTGCCCCACGTCAACGTCCTTTCTAAGATGGACCTGATAGAACAGTATGGCAAGCTGGGTAAGCGCCTTTGGGAAGGGGGCCTGGGTGGAAGGAAAATGAGGACCATGCAAAGGAGTTGTGGAGCTGACTCTTATCACAGAGAAACTAACCTCCTGATAATCAGCAACTTGGGGATGATGGAGAGGAAAAGTATATAACATCTCCCTGAGTTCTTGGTGAAATGTTCTGGCCTGTGCAGTTAGCTGTGTGCATGAGTACTCTCATAAGCACTTTCAAAGCCAGTCATTAAGAAAAAGGAGATCCTGAAGTGGCCCTAGGTTCCATTCACTGGCAGCACCCTAGACCTGTCTGTGCTTTCTTCTGCCTTTTCTGTTCCATCCAATCATCAGCTTCCTCTCTCTGCCATTTCACACAGGCTCACTGCTCTCGGGGCTAAATTCAGAGAGCTGAAGTGAGTCTAAGCTGGTGTAGCTTGCACCTTTGACATATATTTTAAACCAACTTAAACTCAGTGGGGCAAATTCAGCTGTGATGTGTGAGGTGGGGGTGTTCATTGTACATTGGCGGGTGGGTGCGAATCTGAACCTGTTGCAGTAACTTGTTTGCTGAGGTGTCTGGAAGTAGTTGCACCTGCCATCATTCTAGATGTGATTAGATTCACCTGCTCTCCCCTTTCCAGCCCCTGCCATCTGGAACAGCCTCACTCCATCTCTCCACCTCTCTTTACATCTCCTCTGAAGATGTATCTTCTCGCTCATCTTCACATCTCATTCCTTCCCTGCTCCATGTCACTTTGTATTTGACTCTAAAAGCAAACTGCAATATAGTTTGTGTGAGACGCTACACAAAATAGTCATATTGTACCTGTTGGGGAAACTCTCAGTGCTGGAGCCTCTCGTGCCAGTGGGATAGCTGGGGAGCTGACTGACTCAACCCTCTATGGGGGCAGAGACATGCTGTTCACCAGGCTTTGTTGCGTATTCTCATTTGATGGTAGGGTGGCATTGGAGCCTTTGAAGAGGGCGCTTGCCCTGCTAGCCACACAGAAGAGTTAATGTTGTCACAGAGCATGTTCAGATGGCAAAGAAAGGGGTGGGCCAGGACCCCCCACCTCCAAACCCATAGGAAAAATGCAGACCCTGGAAGCTAGTCCTGAAGCTGCTTCTCTTGTCTTTCCTTGTAGCCTTCAACCTGGATTATTACACCGAGGTTCTGGATCTCTCTTACCTAGTAGACCATTTAGCCACCGATCCATTCTTCAAGAACTACCGTCGCCTCAATGAGAAGTTGGTGGAGGTGATTGAGGACTACAGCCTGGTCTCCTTTGTTCCACTCAATGTCCAGGTAACCCAGCTTGAGGCGTGGGTGGGTTGGAAATGACAAGGAACGTTTTGCAGGTAGCTTTCTGATTCATTAACTGCCTAGATTAAGTTTGTGGGCTTCTAAAGGGAGCTCTATTCTCCCAATGAGCACTGTGAAAATAAAATCTCGTGTCACTGCCCATGGTTTTTTTTTTTCCCAGACTTTGGCTGTGTCGAGTAGAATAGTAATTTCACAGCTTGATTTCTGTAGCCTTGAATAAGCATATTTATATGGCTCTCATATTAAAAAAAACAACCCTGTATTACCCGTGCAGGTATAGGTATTAAGTCCAAGTTTATTGAGTGCCTTTGATAATGGTCTAGAAGAGGGCTTTGGGAGACTAATGAAACTCAAATGGCACTAAACTTAAAGGAATTGCAAACCCTGGTCAGGACACAGAAATAGAGAAGGGAGGTATAGAGAGTGAAAACTTGAGCAGAAAATAAAAAATGAGTCTCCTAGAAAAATACAGCTAATATATCAGAGTGGGGAGGGAATCCAAAATATCAGATACTCAGTAGTATGGAGAAAGCCAGGAGGCTATAATACTGAGAGAGACATAGGGGTGAAAATGGAGAGCAAATCAGGCCTGAATTTATAAATGCAGTGTGGCAGCAAAAATACAGCAAATGCAGTTTAGGGATGCATAGGCATTGTATCATGGAGCAGGGAATTAAGGATCCCCCTCTACACAGTTGGCTTGTAACTATATCTGGGGTTCTGCATTCATTGCTGGGCACTACATCACCTGAAATATGGCAATAAATTTGCAGCAAACGAAGAGCAACAAAAATAATGAGACAGGAGGAATAATTTTAGAAGGAAGGATTAAAAGGAGTTAATCCTTTGTTGACTAGAGTTGTTTAAGTGACAATAGGGGAAGATACAAATGTTTGGAGGGAGCGGGAGGAAGAGGAATTATTTCTATAGCATTTTGCCTGTTGAAAGCACTGTGCAGGCATTGGTATCACCCAGCACCACTTATAGGTTAAGTTTGTAGATATTGTTATCCCTATCTTATGGACAGACTGGGAAACTGAAGCACCGAGGGCCTGATGCAACTCTCATTGAAGTCAATGGAAAAACTCCCATTGACTTCTTTGGGCGCATAGGGTTGGACCTGGAGAGGGGAAGTAACTTGCCCAAGGCCACGCAGCAAGTCAGTGGCAAAGCCCAGTTTGCATCTTTGGACCTCTTGACCTTCAATCCTGCACTCGTTCCCCCAGATCACACTGCTTTGCAGCAAAACTCTCCTGACAGTGGGGTGTGGAAGGCTGTGGAGAACGCATCCCGTGACAGTGGTGGAAGCCTCATTACTTGGACTTTTAAAACTAGACTGAACAAATCCCTAATTATAGAGAATAGTTTTGTACTGGAAGGAGACAGTTCTTCAGGTCCCAAGATTGACACGTCTTTTTTCCCCTCTGATGTCTATGATACAGCACGTTACTTTCTTTAAAGTGTTTTCCGCCCATTAATCCTCATGCTCTGTGATGTAGGTCAGGGTAAGGGTCATTCACTGCATTTTAGAGATAGGGACGCTCAGGCAAGGTTAGGTTACTTGCAGGAGGGAGTCATTATTAGAGTTCTGACTGGAATTCAGGAGTTGCTGACATATAGTGCCCTGCTCTAGCCACTAAACCGCTTCCTGTAGATCACTGAAGTCTTCAGGGGAAATGGAGATTTTATTTCAAGTCTAGGCTGCAGAGCATCCTCAACGTAGGTCCAGAGCAACTGCCCTATTTAGGCCAGGTTCTCTTAAAGGATGGCCAAGTCCATCCGTTCTATTGTAAGCCCTTTGCTGCAGGGATCTGTCTGTTACGTTTTTTCTGTGAAACATTTGCTATGCGTTTGGGGGCTATTAAAATAACAGTTCATTAGTTCATGTTGGCATTTTGGCTGTTATGTGAGTCGAGCCAGCACCCAAGGGCTGGAATTCTGAGCCCTCGTATGCTGTTTCTCAAGTGAAAGAATACACAACGCAGCTGCTGCAATTTCCCCCATCTCGCTCTCTTTCCCCCCCCCCTCCCCCCCAAGAAGCCCTGAACCTCACATTCGCTGATGTTGGGAGCTGCGCACAGATCTCATTTCTTCATAAGAAAGAAATCACTTTCCAGGGAGAATTGTGAGGCTTTCCCTCTTCTCTCCCGAGGCTGAGCGTACGGCTATGGCATTGCACCCACCCCGGCTAGCTCAGGCTGCTTGGCTGTTTTTTCTTCTTAATGCTCTGTTAAATCTGCTGCTTCTCATTTTCACCCCCACCGTGTGTCACTCTTCCCAGGACAAGGAGAGTATGCGACGGGTGATGCAGGCAGTGGACAAAGCCAATGGCTACTCCTTCGGAGACTTGGAGCAGAGAAGCCTTGAAGTCCTGATGTCTGCAGCGGTGGGAGCTGATTTCCACTTCACATCGTATCCTTTCAGCTGCTCTTCTCTCCTGTATGGAGTCTTGAACTCGGATTTGTGGCTGTGGGGATTTCCTATAGGCCTGTCTTCTCAAGATCTGAATTCAGGCCAAGTTATTAGTACTGTTATCTGATGCTGTTTAATGGCATGTGTACAACGAGTTGTTAGGTCTCAACTCCAATCCTGTCGGACAAGTGTCCACATCAAACTCACCACAGCCACATTTGGCACTAATTGGGATCTTAATTGTGGGGATGTCACTGACTGCATCTCTGTAATTCATGCTCACTGGGCTCGTTCCTTCCACAGAGCGTCATTAATTAATTTGAATTAATGCCCACTTTGTTTGGAGCTTGTTTGGACCAGCAAGAACTACAAATGCATTTGAACGTTTCATCTTCTTACCAGTGCTGCTAGTTCCCATGTTAGCTTTCAGGCTAATGTTGAAGTCTATTCTCCGATGAGAAAGTTAGAGCTCCTCTGTCTCATAGGGTGCTTTGAACACCAGTCCTCCTTGCTGTCTTGTTTTCCTTGATTCCTGGATCATCAGTACACTTGCAGTCCAGGAGAAGTATGTGCAGCCTCAGGAGAAAACCGTGGAACAGGAAGCAATGGAAATATAGTGCTCCTGTATCTTTCAGCAGGCTCGTAGTGGAAGGAGCTCCCTTCCTGTTTTAAATGTGTCTCACCTCTTCCCATCAGGAGCATAAGGGACCCTCTGTGTAGTTTGACTCGGACCCGGTACTTTCTGGGCAGAAGGCCAGCTGTTAGGTTCCCTCTTTGTATGAATGCAGTCCTGCGTCTGGATCCCGCTGTGTACGAGCTATGTTTTTCTGGGTGACAATGAGATCAGGACCTCCATAGCTGAGTGCAGGACAAATTCAAGATCTCCTTACAGGAACCAGAGGGAATCTTCACCTGATCCGGGACGTCAGCAGCAGAAGAAAACAATCTCTCTGTACAGCAGACAAGACATAGGTGCCCACTTTTGCCAAGTCTCATCCCTCACCACCATGACCAAGGCTATGTCTCAAGTGAAAGACAAATCAGCATCTACTGCAGTGAATGAATGGAGCTCCTTCTTGTGGTATGAATTCTCCATGTATTGAATGGGACCTCTGTGCATTCTCACAGTGAGGGGTATCCACTCCTTAGAGAGCCAGCCACCTGTCCGTTCATCCCTGGGGGGAGGAGAGGTGTGAGGGTTTTTGTTTGTTTTTAATTATCAGCTCTTTCTTAACAAAAACACTTCTCCACCCCTTAGTTTCACCTGTACTTCTGAGTTTGCTACGAACTCCCCTGAAGTGGAGAAAATAAAATAAAATGCAACAGTGCTGCAAAGCATGAGGGACAAGAAGAGCTGTGAATAGGTTCCTTATTGCAGCTGCAGACGCTGCCACGTGTTTCTGTTAAAATCACTCTAGTCTCTGTTGTTTCCTTCTGTGACCTACCTGGAAGCAGAACAAGTATCTGCTCGGGATGGGGTGGAGGAAAGGAGGTCACTTCTTGTGCACTCTGTTCCAGTGGAGAAATTCTGTCTCTCTGCCCTGCATGATGAAACACTGCCAATGTTCTGTTGTGAGCTCCTGAAAGCTTTTCCCAAACTGTACTAACAGGAGTGTTCGTAGGCTTATGACGGGGGAAGAGCCTGTGTGGTTCAGCGGAAGAATGTAGCTCCACAAAGGTTGTAGCAAACCATAGAAGTTAGGTCTTTCCTTGTCTCTACTAGGTCCTTTACTATATCCTTCCTTTGCTATATCCCTCCATCTTTGTGGGATTGTTCCCTACAATTGATTGTCCAGTGCTTTACCCACTCGAGTTTTAAACGTCCCAAGCAACGGTGTGTCCACTACTTCCCTGAGGGAACCCTGAATAATTCTGCTCCTAGTTGCTGTTTACATCTTTGGATACTGAGAGACAGTTATGAGGCTAGTTAACTGCTGGTGTAAACACACCTCTCTCTGCTAGAATGGCATCTAATGATCTGAATCTGCCCTGAAGGCGGCTGCTTGAGACAGGTACATGTTGTTTTTTAAACTGATCATACCTGGCAATTAGCTTGTAATATTCAAAGCAATTTACACATGTGTTAATCCAAACAGCACCCTGGTGAGGCTCTTGAACAAGTTTTTATTCATAATGATTTACAGATGGCAAAACTGAGACACCAAAAGGTTAAGAGACTTAAAACCACAGAGGGCTTAAGTGGCAGAGCCAAAATTTTAATGTTCAGCAGTTCCTGGCTCCCAGTCCTGTGCTCAGACCAAGTTTTCCATCCCTTTTCGGCTGAAATATTGTAAAGAATAATATAGTTGCTTCTTGCTGTAGAATTTAGCAGGAGAGTTTCCCTCTCTTCCCCTATACCCTCCCCAATTGTAGACTAACGGTTAATAGAGAATATAAACGTGAGTGGTACTAAAGACTCACGGTAGAAGAGTGAGATCTGCATTTTCCTACATCTTATGGTGTCGTGGCCGTGGCTCAGAGAAGGAAACTTTCTACTATGTTGTTTGTTGGTGACGGAATGGGGATGCACATGACACACACACGGTTGGGTTGCCTCATATCAATCAAGTCATGAAGGCCACTCTGGAGTTTAGAATTGAAAAACCAAAGATCTGTCTGCTCTGTATGTTCAAAGTTTTCATGGCACTTTTTATAAGAGTAGGGTCATGCCTGCATTAAGCAGTGGGTGTTGTGCCTGCTGTTGGTATTCTCTACCACAGTGGTAGCTACATTTCAGTGATTATGTATATAGATTGAAGTGCTGTCTAATCATGTATTTAGATTGATACTCCCTCCTTGACTCACCCTGTTGCATGTAGGTATTGTAATCCATGTGGGATATAAACTTACCTGCTCTTCTGTTAGCCGTACAGTCGCTTGAGAGGGTGTTCGGAATGTGTTCAATCTTAAATGTGAATTTTACAGCTTGGAGAAATGTAGTGCTTTAAGAGGGCATTGTTAGGTCAAATTTGATATAAAATTGAAGACCAATAGAAACATTTCTATGTGGTTTGGCTTTTTTCAGTTTCCAAGGCAGAAGTACTTTTTTAAATTCACCTGTAGTGTTTGCCATTGCAGCACTATGCTAGTGCAGGAGAATGCAGAGTGTGAAACTGAGTAGTCCCTTTTCTTTTTCCAGGCAGAGAGAAATGCAAAAAACAAACAATATCAGTAGTGAAAAGTAAATGTTCAGAGTTCCAGCATTAAGCTATTCTTAGTAATAGGTCAGGAAATCCATTTCTAAGTCCCTCTAAATTTTAACCTTTTCAGTTTCTCTAATGTGAAGACACCTTGATAGCTGGAAGTATCTTCCTTTACTATTTTACTTCCCACTTTCTCTCCATTTCGTTCTGGCTAATGGTAGAAGTTGCTCTCTGTGCTATCTCGTCACTTCGGAACCTTAAAACCAAGTGTAGTGTGGAAATTCTGTCCCTGTGCTAGGAGGGTTTAGGACCCGGGGAGATGGAAGGAGCATAACCAGATGAAAGCAATGTCTCACTTGGGTATCAGAATTTCCTCGTTATGCGAACCCACAGAGATCATAGAGGAGAGAAGATAGCAATTGCCTGATCAGCAAACACAAGGCAGCAGACCACCGCGTATGGTAACAGACCCCTACGAAAGTAATAACGAGGCCTCTCCTGTTCGTGAACTAGGTGAGTCAGACAGAGTAATATAATTGTACCTCTGTATGAATTACTGCTGCTTAGTTATACGGTAGCTGTAAGTGTTGATATTACAACTGGCTTGACGTAATGGGACGATTGCTCCACTGAAAAACCCACAGGGAAATGTTGCTGTCTGCATCTCTCAGTGCAAGTGTTGCCTATTGGACACTCAGGCCCCAATGTACCTGCTGATACCCACATATTCGATGACAGACTCAACATGGGTGAAGAAGAAAAATGAAATGCAGGGTGTAGAAATGCAGTGGGACCAATTCCATTCCTGTTGATAACTGTTCCTCTCTGCTCAGTGGCCTTGAAATGGAGCTGGAAATGGAGAGCCTTAAAACTGAGGTGGTAGAAAAGTTGGTGATATAAGTGGGTTTACACCCACTGTGTTTATACATCCTGCATGGCTGTGTATCTGGGAGTTCCCAGAAGCAGGGAAGGGTTATGTTTTGGAGCATGCCTCTGGTTAACAAAGACATCATGTGGGGGTAAAGGACAGTAGTTATTTCTGAAATGTGAGTTAAATGCATGGCAAGCTTATGTGGCTCTGAAAGTCTCATGGAGCAGAGCTGATCTATCTGCAGGACTCCCCAACTCCCAATTGTAAGTCACTGCTTGAATCAGAAGCAGCAAATTCCTTCTGTTCCTCCACCTCTTTCCCGCAACCTCGCTTGGCCACATACCTCCAAGTTAGATATTTGTCGACAAATGACTCAGGCTAACCTTCTGCTGACACCAATGTGTGAAATAGCCGCACTCCTGGAACACCCAGGAGCCAAAGCCTCATTCCCGCTTCCCTGATTCATTTTCATTTCGGAGGGATCTCCAAAGCAGAGCTGGTCTGGGTATGTTTAGCAGTTAACTCTTGTAGAGAGCTTTCAGCCTTGAAATGCTCCATTGACCTGAAGTGAGAGCCTGGAATCCAGCTGGGATTTTTAATCCATTCTCCAGGAAGTGATTAAATATAGTGAGGGGTTTTCTTTTTTTTTAAATTATATTTGTTGGATGACATCTCACTGAGGCACAGTGTGTGTTCTCGCTCTTCCCCTTTCCTAAGGGGCATAGTAAAGTTTGACCCACCCTGAAATGGTGACTAGTATTTCTTACTATTCATGAAGATATCTTTTTATTCCAGTCACTTTATTACCTGTAGCTCTGGGTCTGTGACCGTAGGGGAAGAGGCAGGGAGTGGAGGGTGAAGTGAGTACAGCGGCACAGGATCACACTGACTAGAGGGGGCAAAGCCCTGTTGATTCGTGGAGCTCATGAGCCCCAGTAAGGACAGGATCTAGTTCCCTGGATGGACTCTTAAGCATTCTAAGCACTGCATTTTATGGCACTATATTGTTTTGTTGGGTGTTTGGTTGTTGGCCCCTCCCTCTCTCCCACTTGGTTTTCCAGTAGGATCCGGGAAGGATTTGAATCACAGGCTCATACGCATATTTTGAAGAGCTCTGAGAGCAGAGGTAGAGGAATCTGTAGAAGGAGGGGCTGTAATGATCAGTCACAATACGCCCATGACTGCTTATGGTGTGGATGAGGGTCTCTGTTAAAGTTTGAGGTTTGCCCTATAATTAGTCTTTGGGTACGTCTATACTTACCTCCCGGTCCGGCGGTAAGCAATCAATCTTCTGGGATCGATTTATCGCGTCTTGTCTAGACGCAATAAATCAATCCCGGATCGATCCCGGAAGTGCTCGCCGTCGACGCCGGTACTCCTGCTCCGCGAGAGGAGTACGCGGAGTCGACGGGGGAGCCTGCCTGCCGCGTTTGGACCCGCGGTAAGTTCGAACTAAGGTACTTCGACTTCAGCTACGTTATTAACGTAGCTGAAGTTGCGTATCTTAGTTCGAAGTGGGGGGTTAGTGTGGACCAGGCCTTAGTAGAGGGTTTGCCAAACTTCTAGGGAACAGCAATCGGTCGGCTGCTTGATTTGGAGGAACCATAGTCTTGGTATCCGAGATCTCCTTCCCTAAGGGAGGAGCAAGAAGGCGGTAAGTTGAGAGGGTCATTTACAGCCAGGATGCCCTCTTCTTATACCTGCTCCAAACCCCCTTATCAGCACTTACATCGGTAAGAACTCGGAGGGTTTCAGTCTTCAGCAAAAGGCAAACAACGCTTAGTTGTCAGAAAGGTTTATTTACAATGAAGCTCTATAAATAATACACAGCTTTTCAAGATCTTGGCCCACACGTGTTTGCAGATCTTATTGCCCTTGTTTGGGTCTCCTGTGTGCAAGTGATAACAAGGTCCAGCCAGCCAGCATGCTATGCTGGGACATGCGCTGTACAAGACAGCCCTCATTTGCTTCACCATCCTGAGAGTCAGACAGGTTGCATCTTTCTTCTTCGCTTTCCAAACTATGGGGGTAAAGCTAATTCTCTCCTTGGAGATATGCCCTGGTGCTGCGGAGCACAGATTACCACCTGTATCATCCTCTGCTTGCTCTATAAGAGTCCGTCTTCCATATTATCCCACAGCCTTTAAACAATGATGGAGGTTCTGAGATGTGTTCTCATCTTGTAGGACTATGCAATCAGCTACGTGCTGTGAGAGCAGAGAGGTTCGCACCATTGTTCAGTGCCCCTTTCCTTGCCCTCTGCCGGCGTCTCTCCAGTTATCTTTGAAGATGAACGAGGGCAGCTTCTCAGCATCAGTAAGTCTGAGTGACTGTTGCCCAAGTGGATGCCAGACGGGGAATAGCAGAGTCATACTGACCATCACTCGAGGGCACCTCTGCCAGGGCATTGTCATAGACTGGGGATGTGGAGGGAGCTGGGATAGCAGAGGCCAAGCTGCTGTAAGAGACCGAAGAGCCTCTCGGGAACTGGGGGTTGGAGCTGGACTGAGTAGCAGGACTGATAGAGTTGCTGGTGAGGGACCACAGGCTGGAATACTGACTGTAAAGTGAAAAGAGAGTTACCATCATGGCTTATCTCACTCACTTCCAGGAGTGCCGCCTTATTCTGATACACTTCTCCATGCTCAAAGTCACTCAGCTTTGTGGAAACAGGATGGGACTAGAGGGCTTGTGAGTGCACTTACAGCCCATCTGTAACTGCATCACAGTCTTGTCAGGAGACGGGTTAAAATGTGCAATATGGGCAGAACATAGCTGTGTTGTCACTAGGTCATGTAACCCCTCTGGAGACATGCCTAAGGCTGATGGCACAGATATAACATGGTTAGGGTCCATCCACACTACACATTTTAACTAGGCCCTTGATGAGGTAGTTCTTGTAGAGGAGACAAGCCCCTTCAGGGTGGGGGGTGCCCCTCCTGCAAAACTCCCTCCTCACATCTTTGGCAGTGGAGAGCAGGGAGCTCATCTCCTGCCTTTGTCCTTCCCTACAAGGCAAATTCCAGGTGGGGAGAAAAAAATTGTACCTCCCTAGGAACAGGCTGAGAGCTTAGCTTGCAACTTACCTGCTTTCTTGATTCTCCGTTCACCTGGTGCTCACTCCCCTAAATGCTGCGCAAACCTACCCCTGCAGACACAGCCCTGCTTGATTCAGCACCCCCAATTTCTGCATTGCTACCCGCTCTACGTGCACCACTCCATGCTACTCAAGCCATGAGCCCTCTTCCACCTATAAGTAAACCTCGGCCAATCTCTCCTGAATACCCGCCTCCCTCGATCACTGCCGTCCCCCAGGCACTGCCCAAGCTCCTCGGCTCTGAGCTGTCAGGCTTATTCTAACCCTAAACGTATAGAGAGGACAATCTGCTGAGTGTCCTGATACATGTAATGCTCAGCTAAGGACTAAACTAAGACCCCATGTTCCCCCCTCCATGTGGTTAAAATTGGGCTGCGAAACCAGCTCCTAGACCAGCTACCACTGGATATTTAACCCCACTTAGCTCCCTTCATTCTTTAGTCTAGGGATAAAAGCGCTCTCCTTCATTAAAGAAAGTATCCGCGTCTGTGCCGTACCTTGTGGGAGAGGCAGTGCTGGGTAGAACCCCCATAGAGCTGGAGAGACTCAGGCCAGGCCAGCTGTCAGGGGCAGGCACCAGGGAGAGGCCAGTGGAGTTATCTACATAATTCGCTAAAGCAAAAATAGATTATTTGGATGTAGAGCAAACGGTGAGACACAATAATCGTCGCAACTTACATTTATAAAGAGGAAGGATAGCCTAGTGGCTAGAGCACTAGCCTGGGACTCAGGAGACTTGGGTTAAATTCCTTGCTCTGCCACAGACTTCCCGTGTGACCTTTGGCAAGTCACTTAGCCTCTGTGTACCTCAGTTCCCCATCTGTGAACTGGGGCTAATTGCACTTCCCGAGTTGGGAGGATAAATACACTAAATATTGTGGGGTGCTCATCTGCTACAGTAATAGATGCCAGATAAGTACCATAGACAGAGATTAAAAGAGAAAGTTTTGTCTAAGCCCTTTACAAATTCTATATAGAAAGACTCCCCCCAGTACTGAACTCCAGCCTGGGTGGAGCGTAGCAGCCTGATTCTGTTTGGCACTGGACAGGACTCCATGGAGCAGGCCTGGGTGCTCACTCTCACCAGTGGAGATGGGCCTTTCTCCCCTGAGGGTATCCACGAGTGAAGGCAGCAATGAGGGGTCTGATATCCAGCGGGTGCTCAGCACCCACAGCTCCAGCTGAAGTCAGTTAGAGCTGTTGGGGCTCAGCACCTCTGAAAAGCTGACCCTAAGGGAACCATTTAATAATATGCTCCATCTGTTTAGAGGACACTTCTCCCTCCCCCTGCCCTGCTCTCTGCATTGAGTCGCTGCAGCGAACTTTACAGGCAGCCCAAGTCCTGGGCCAGTCCGGAGTTGGGAAGATGAATGTGGCTGGGGTGTCCTTACTTGGTGAGGCGTTGATCTGGCTGTATGGGCTCGGATAAGGTGAGGCCCTCTGGTTCCGCAGGCCGGAGTGTGTCTCGCAGTATGAGCTGTGGCCAGATGAGAGGCCAGGACTGCCTGAGAACGAAGACTGGGCAGGAGAGGAACAGAAAGAACTGGTGCCTGGCAGAAACCAACCCCCAACTGCGAAAGAAAAATAGTTAAAGGTAACTCAGGGCTCCTTAGGCAGCTACCCTGTCAGAGGTCTGTCCAATGGCATGGCACAGAGCTGGACTAGAAACGAGCAATGTCAGAAATACAAAACCATGGAACCAAGGGGAGCATTTTCAGAAGTTCCTAAGTCATGTAGTAGCCTGCGTCTAATTGGTTTTCAATTGGACTTGGGAGCCAAGGTCACTTCGCTGCTTTTGAAAATGCTACCCAGAGTCTCCAAAATGTCCAGGAAAGGAACAACGGTGGCATTATTTTAAATGGTAGGTCTCTAACTTTTGGGCTTGTTGCGAGAGACAGACCCCAAATCAGATACCTGTTATAGGCCAGCATTGGGTATCTGAGCCTGAGAGAATTTCACATCTCAACAAAGCGAGGTCCTATTGGCTTCATTTGCAGATCATACAAACCATGGACTCTGCATCCCGGCCTGAACCTGTTTCCAGTACAGCAGTGAGGGGCTAAGGAACCCGAGAAAGTGTTGTAAACGCTGGTAGGGTCTGGTCCTGTGAGTGTCCTGAGCACCCACTGACTCCAGGGAGAGTTGGGGCACTCAGGCCCGGCTCCTCAAAGGTTTTTAGACTCCTAACATCTATTGAAATGAGTTAGGAATCTAAATACACTTGGGGGGATCTAGGCCTCAGTGCTCTTCAGGATTGGGCCTTTCGTGTGTTCAGGTCCTAGTGTCCCAGAGATCAGTCAGAAAAGAGGAAGTCTCACGCTGTGAACAGCCAGCCTGATGAGCTTCATTGCTGGGGTCGAGAATGTCTTTGGACTCGCACCTACATGGAGAATACAGAGAGGGAATAAAGTCTCCAGTTAATAACCAACGTCCGGCATTCATTAAATACAGTTCATTTACAGGGTCCCTTTACAGTAGTGCCACAACACCCAGGTGCCATCCTGACTCTCGGCTGCTTTAGGGGGAGGGGGCTGGGTGGTCAGAGCGGGGGAGTGAGGTGGGACCTCTGGGCTCTGCCACTGAGGTACTGGTGTGGTCTTGAGTGAGGTTTTATCCTGTGCTTCAGTTTTCCCATCTGTACAATGGGGACAGTTGCTCACAAGGGCATTGTGAAGCTTAAGTCATTCCCATTTATGATCACACTTAGATGAAAGGAGCCCAAGAGGGGCAAAGCACTGCTAATGATTCAGGCAAGCCGGCCTCGGTCTCCCTCAGCCAGCACTCACCTCTCCTTGGCATCCAGGAAGGCTTTTGCAAAGGGATTGTGTTTAATTTTCAAGGCAGTGATCTGAAATGACAGAAGACGGCTGCAGTTCGGCTTTCTTAAATAGAAACCTTTAGCCACTCCTGACCCTTCTTCATATCTCCAACACCCCTCCAAATCCTACACTGGTATCAAATTGCAATTAACTCCACTGACGTTAAGCAAATTACAATGGCTCTACATTTGTGTAACAGAGTAGAATTTGACCCTTTTGCTGTTGTTTCAAGGTGCTTCTCATGAATGCCTAAAATCCACTTGTCTTCGCTCCTTGGAAGCATGAAATGGGAATCTTTCTAACTTTCCTCCCTCTTATTTACATGTTCGTTTATAGGGTTGCTCATGAATGGTGCATGCCTGCTCGTGGTTTTTATTTTTTAATAAGCACTTGTCTAACCGCTTCTCATATTGAAGCTGCTAACAAAATACCCCCCCCCCCCCCCCCGAGATTCAGAGCTGTCCTGGTTTTACAAGTGGGGATGCTGAAACACACAGAGGAGTCAACTTGCCAAGTGAACCAGTGTCAGAGCCAGGATTAGAATGCTCAGATTTGTTGCCACATGCTCTACCCATTAGACAACGCTGCCTCACTAGCCATTTTACACTAAAAACAGAAGAGAAGCAGCATTTTTTTCCCCAGGGAAGGCAAAGCAGGGCATCACATTAAGAACCAAATTCCACCCAGCCTTACATCCCAGGGAATACCACTGAAATAATAGGGTTGTAAATCAGGGCTGGATTTGGCTCTAATTCTTATGTGGACTTCAGCTGTGACTGCACAAGGTGTGAACTTTCCAGCCTTTCCCGAGGTGCAGAGCTGGCTTTCAGTAGCAGAGACCTAAAATGCCTTCGTTTCCAGCAGCTTCCATGCCTAGGTTTAGCATTTCACTTCCCCCGAGCTCCCAGGTCTAAGGGATTGTTCTCTGTGTCACGTGCTTGTCCCTGTTGCCATGACCGTCAGTGAGAATGCTCCCATTGGCTTGGGGAGCAGCGCGTGAGTGTAAGAGACAAACAGATGTTTGATTTCTCCCAGGCCCTGCCCTGTGAACCAGGTCTCTGCGTGGTTGGGGGAGAGGAATGAAGGGCTGGGGGAGTCGCTTTATGATCTACACACCATAAAGGAAAGTGGATTCCAAGTGACGTGCAGTGTATTGGATCTGCCCAAGGGAGGAGGGCATGCCCTTGGAGACAGGTGATGGTGGGAACAGAACGTGGACACTGAAAGGAAACAGTGCATTGTGCTGGAAAGTATTGGAAGGGTTCCAGTTGGATACGTTCTTCACTTTGTCTTGAAATGTTGTGCTGTTAAACAGCTGCCTGGTTCCATCTCAGAGGTGACCACAGCACGGTTGCAGGGGAAGTGGTCCACGTGCCTCTGATCTATAGGGCTGTGCCTTTCATGATTAAAAACCCCAAGCGCACTCTTATCTGCAGGACATAGTTATCCGACTTACCTCCTCGTTCTGATAGGCAGTGACGGCAATAAACTGGGTCTCCGGGAAAGCAAAGCTGCTGATCGCTTTCTGAGGCCCCCCGACCTTCACGATGTGGACGCGGGGCTCGTACTTGTGGAGGGAGTTCAGCATGATCTGAGGGACAGAACAAACACGCTAAACAGTGGCCTTCAGGCTCAGCTTCATCAGCGGAGGACCTGATCTTTCAGGGTGCCAGAAAAGCAGTCAGTATGCAGGCCGGAGCCGTGCACCCCGTGCCTGCAGTATCTCCTCCACTCTGTCCTGCAGGTGCATGGATAATGGGATACGATAGGGCCATGGCCACCTTGGTGTAACCACATGGCTATTCTCTAAGCTAGGCTCCTGCACTGCGCTCAGTGAGTTACTGGAGCATGTATTTGCTCAGGGCAAACTAGTGGCATCTTTGGGCCACTAACTGAAAGTCCAGCTTGTCCACTGGAAGCTCTGGAGAATGACTGCACAAGCCAATGCTGCTGCTCCAGCGTTACCAATACTTTCCATGGCATAAGGGAAATAGAAACTTCACTTGCTGTCTTGGGCAGGTATCCTAGAGCTCTCCCGATGGCTGTAAGATCGGCTATCCCCCTTGCCCTCCCCCTCCCTGTGAACCCCTTCCAGAGTTACCTGCCCCCCTCCATTCATCTTGTTGGAGAGCTTGACTTTGCTGAAGGTGACGGTGGCTTTCATCCAGTAAGCCCCAAAATTGGGGGATTTGGGATGGATGTAGACGCAGCTCGGGCTCTGGGGCTCAGGCTTGCCGCCAGGAATCCACTCCCCGTTGACATACTTCCAGCGGTTCCCATCTGCAGCCACAAAGTCCAGGAGGAGAGAGTACATGGAATTGGGGTCCAGGCCCGAGATGATGACCTTCAGCACTGGGAACATTCTCCTACGCAGGGGATAGGAGGAGGAGACGGTTAGTTGTTTGCTTCTCCTTTATTGGCTGCTTTGCTCCTCTCAGCTGTCGTTGCAAACTCACTTCTGCCGCAGGTTTAATTACAGCGCTGGTCTCTCTCCCGCCACCTTAACAAGTGTAGTTCTTAACCTTTCACCTGTATCACAGACCTTCTCCCCACAGTGGCACTGGCATGCCGTAGGCATCCCTACTGTCCTGCTCCCTGGAATGTGTCTGCTGCTCACCTTCCTATGCATGGAGCACAGCCTGCTCCTTGTGACCCTGAGCAGTGCCCAAGCTTCTCGGGGTGTCGGTGTGAATGAGAGGCAGGGGGAAGTAGCTGGAGCCTTTGAACCTGTCTCCCCAGTAACTCGCGTGCCACGTCAGTGTTCCAACAGGCCTGCCTGGCCGTGCTAGAACGTGATTGGGTGTTGCCTATGCAGACGGGGCTACAGCACAGGACCATAACTTGGGGGTGACAAAGGTTAGGCCCAGCTCCCCAGGCAAGAGTAAACCTTGTCTCGACCCCTGGCAGAGTGAACCTTGCTGTGTTGCTAGGGCCAGAGTCTGGGTGAATTGGTACAAATGGCCTGGAAAGGCCGGGGATGCCAGAAGTAACAGCCGTTACCAGGAAGGTTTAAGTAAGGGCAGCACCTTCTTTTTCATTTTAATATAAATGGATCTGTTTGCTGTCAGTTTTCTTTCTTTTCAAACAGAACAGACCAGTCTGTCCCATTCCCGTAACAGGGAGGGGAAACTAATGACCCTTTTAAATTCACCTCCCATCAGATCAAAGTGATCAGTCTGTTCTCGTTTCCCTCGATCAGTCTTGGGGTGGGGGTGGGGAAGACACCTCAGTTTGTAAATTCGGAGTCCTCGCCGCCCGACTACATAACTGTCCAAGCAATGGAATCCATCAGAGCCATCTTCTCTGCAACAGCTCTCTGTCTCCGTCTAGCCCAGGTGAAATTCAGCCTTGTGCCGAGGGCCAGCACAAAGACTTTGCTATTTACAGCCCAGGTAAAGCGTAAGTCCCTGATGGGGAATTTGTACAAATCAGACTAATGTAGCTATGCAGCTCTACTAAAGCCCTATGGATTTAAAATAAGGTGCTTCCTAGACCTTGGCCCCTACCCCCTAATGTGGGGGGAGAGAGACCTCCCCTCCCAGCCCCCCATGTCTGGTGATCCTGCCACAAGGAGCTCAGAGCCACAAAACAACCAGTGGTGGCTTCCTGGAGACAAAGCGTGAGCACCCTGCTGCAAAGAGCAGCATAAATGGGGGCTAGGAGGTGAACAGGGTCCTGGTGGATCAGTGGTATCTGGGGCCTGGAGGCACTGGTGATGGGCATCTTAAAGATACTTAAGGGAGGGAGCTAGAGGGGTGGAAGGAGAGGGTACCTCCGGACAGCTCAGAGGAGGGGTAGAAAGAATTCTTTGCACTCACCGGCCAGTTTTGGTGACTATCATCTCATTGGTGAGCTCCTTAAAGTTCATCCACAGCTCTTTCTCTTCCAGCACCACCCTGATCTCCCTCTCCGAGGCATCCTCTTTCTCGGGGCCCATTTCCAACTCGCTCTCCACCGCGCTGAAGACATGGTCCAGCCACTGGTGGCTGGGGACTGAGCTCATGGTGTCTGGCTTCCCCGCTGCCTCACTCTGGGAATCCCACAGCAAAGCCCTGGAGCCCAGCACCTAGCATCAGGCCCAGACCTTTTTGTCATTGGGACTCACTGGGGAGGGGGTGGAGACCCTTCTGGGATTTTAAACCCCCCACCCCCCTCAGCAGGACACGTGGAGGCTGGGGGGAAGGATTCCTTTCTCATTGGCTAAAAAGAGCTAGCAGGTGCCCCCTCCCAGAGAGGTGAGGCGGTGATTGGCCAGCCTGGGGATGGAGGGGAGGGGGAGGTATGGCTGGTCAGTGTGCTGTCCTCCCAGCTGGAGGGGGAGCAGCTTTGATGTCTATGTGAAACTCAGTGGGAAACCCAATCTCCGTCCCTGCTCTGGAGATGGGTTCCGTCCTGTCCCTGCAACCACTGCTTCCCCCGGTTCAGGTGATGGGAAGAGATCGCCCTGCCATTGACCGCCGAGCACCTTTCGTCCAGGTAAAGGCAGCCCCTCTAACACACCAGCTGAGGGAGTCGTTAAGCGAGGAAACTATTAGCTTTGAGGGGTGGGGAGTGCCGTAGCCCCTTCCACCTCTCCCTCACCTGCGCCCCTCTGCCCCAGGATCTCCCTTTCCCCTATGAAATCCCTGGAAGGTGGGTGGGGAGGGAGGACAAAACTGTGCAAAAGTCTCAATAGCACGTTGGCAAATACATCTAGCACATTGCCACAGGAAGCTATAGCAAGGGGCGAAATGCTGCTTGCCCCAGCCGGGCAGTGACTGAGAGCTTAGAGCGAGTTAAGGGAGGGGAATCTCTGCCTTTCCCTGCTCTGATGGCGGTAACAATCCTGTTTAAGGCCCTGATTCAGCAAAGCACGTGCTTCAATCCCAGTGCCACACCCACACAGAGGCTGGGCTCAGGTCTAGTCGCTTGACTAAACGCACAAGGGGCCCGACATTAGTGCTGAGTAAAAGGGTTAAAATCCCACTTTGCATGTGTGGCTCGAGTCTGGACAAGGCGTTGCCTGGAGGTCTAAGGGTTGCTAGACACCAGTGACCAGCTAGGGCTCCGGTACGTGTAACCCAAACACCCCAGGTGCACCCCACCTCCTTATTGTCGTGGGGCTGAGGCCCTGGTGCCTGGCACGGCTCTGCAGAGAAAAGGCTAGTACTACTTCTGGAGCCCTTTGTGTTTTCAAAGTAACGAAGCTTACACCTTAGCTGGTCAGCTCTCGGGGCAGGGTCTGTCTTGTTGTTCCGTGTCTCTGCCGCACTCAGCACAATGGAGCTTGCTCCACGACTGAGGCGCCTAGGCACTACCACAAGATGAATAATAAATAGAAATATTAACCTAACGAAGCCTCACAACCCCACTGTGAGATAGGGAAATACCCTCTGCCTAGACGCTTAGCTAGCCCCCATCTCTGGAGTACCTGAGCACCTCACAAACAATGTATTTATCCGCACAGTATCCCTGTGAGGGATAGTCTATGATAAATCTAGTATCATCCAGATGGGGAAACTGAGGCACGGAACAGCGATGTGACTTGCCCAAGGTCACACAGCACGTTAGGAACAGAATTCAGGTCTCTTGGCTCCCACCCTCCTGCACTAACCACTAGACCACACCTGCTGGGGTGGAAAATGTTCTCCCTATCGAGTGTGTCTGGAGCACCAGCATGCGCAGACGTGGGGAACTCAGCCGCTTGCTTGTGCTGTAACTCGAACACAGTTGATTTTATAGGGCCTGCTGTTGAGCCATGTGCCCTGAGCCCTCGCTGCCTCCCAGGGCACTGCAAAGTGAACGGCAGAGATGGGCCAGAGCAGCCCAGTTTGGATCCAGGGCAGAGTTGGAGAGCGTTTGAATTTGGGGTTCCCTTTATAGAAACGCCCAAGTTATGAAGCTTAGATGTGGCTCTGGTCTTGCCCAAAGCGCCAGAATGTGGGATCAGGCCCATGTCTGCCTGAGACATGGTTAGTGAGTAGGAATGAGGTGGGATTGCTCTCTCTGGGATGGCTCTATTCTAATCTTTCTGAGGACTCTGAGGGATTTTTCCTCTGTCCGCTCTGTTTGCAGGCACGGAGCTGGCGTGCTGGCTTTTCTGCAGGCCAGTGAAATGTGTGTGTTTGCCCTTGGGCTGGGGAGCTGGGATTTTTAACACGGAAGTAGCTTGAGCCTCTGGAGAAGTGAGCTGATGATGCAGGGTCCACGCTGTGGATTCTGTTTCAGGATATTGGCAGCCATTTAGCTTTGCTTTATGCCCGACGTTTCTTCCATCAGAGTGTGAAGTTTTTGTAATACGTGGTGGGTCCTGTCAGGAGAACAAGGCCGTGAGGAAATGCCAAGTTCCTTCCAAACTTTGCTTTGCAGCCTGCCGGACCAGGATTAAGAGGTTGCAAGCAGGGCAATTGCCTGGGGCCCCAGGCCACAGGGGGCCCCACAAATGGTTATTACCCCATTTTTACAGATGGGCAACTGAAGCCCAGAGAGATTAAGGCTGACATTTTAAAACCTGCCTAGAGGATTTGGATACCTGAGTCCCATTAAGGTGTCCAAATCCCTTACAGCATCGTTGAAAATCTGAGCATAAGTGACTTGGAGTATGTGGCAAAGACAAGCATTGCACTCAGATCTCCTGGCTCCCAGCTCAGTGCCTTTACAATTCTAGTTTCCTCTGTTGAGTTTTGCTTGGCCTCGCCTTGTGCTCTCACTGGCTGTGACGTCTGAGGAGTTAGAGGTTCCTGCACAGCGGCAATGATCCGTCATCACCCATGTGTGAAATATTGCAGGGTGCTGGACCCTGGGGGCCGGGACATTGGCTCAAGTGTCATGGAGTCTTAGCAAATATTCGGCTTGGGATGGTGGCTGGAGAGGGAGGGCAGCACGTATGAAAACAATGAATCAGGAGCCCAGGTCTTGGTCATGCTGAATTGATTAAGTCCGTCTCAAAGTTCATAATGAAAATGCACTTAGCACGCAGCTAAACGGAGCCCTGTTGGAAGTAGATTCTAATTCCTTTCCCCTCAATCACTGACCTGGTCCGTCTTTTCCATCCGATTTCTGTTCTCTACCCTGCAGATGACTTTATTCGTTCATGTGTCCCTCCCGCCTTCCCTTTAGCAGCCAAAGCTTCACGTCCCCACCTCCTGCACTGTGGAGCATGGGGGAAGGGCGTTGCAAATCCAGATTTAAAGCATGTGGCTTGAGTCTGTCTCTAGTCTATTCAAACATGGGGCCCGCAAGACAGGATCTGGCCAACGACCCATCGAGTTGGGTGTCTTGCCTCCAACAGTGGCCACAACTTGATGCTTTGGAAGAAGGTGGGAAAAAGCACAATGCACCTGATCATCTGCGTGATGCCATGTGGGGAGAGATTTTTCCTTTGGCCGCAGGCCTGGATGACATCCAGTGCCACCCAGAGGAGCAATGAGTGAGAGGCAGTAGCATGTGGTGGTGCAGAACTTCCCATCCATTGCTTCTGCTCATGTGCCCACAGCACCTGCCTGATTTCTCACTGGCGGATACAGAAACTGCTTGAAAGGCATCTCAGCCTTCCCACCAACAGGTTTGAATGAGGAGCGGGGGATGTTTCCTGCCTCTCTTCTTCTCCCCCCCATTTCCATGTGGGACCAAGGAAACCTGGATCTCTCTGCCTAATCACCCCCCACCTTTTAGAGGATGAAGAGAATTAGCAACAGATCAGATTCTCACAGGACAAACAACCTCTGCTGGGGCTCATCTGGAAACAACGGAAGATGCTCTGGCATGCAGATTAACAGGACACAGGGAGCTGGTACAGGGCAAGGAATGACATTTTCTGCCTGGAGTGACTCAAACTCCCTGAAGCCCGGGTGAGAATAGCCTAATCTTCAGCACGCTGGTGCTGGGAATTACACTAGAGAGCTGAGAAATCTCTCACGCCATTCACAGTGCGAGGGGATCAAAGCCAGCAGCTCAGCTGAGCTCAAGCTTCCATACGGGGTGGGTGAACAGCGGGGCAAGGATCGGTGGGGTTCTGGGTGAGCTGCTGTGGAGACCTCTCATTGTGAGTGGCCACTCAATCATGTCCCCCACCAGGGGTATTTGGGAGAGATCTGGACCCAATGAGGTGATATCTCCCACTGTGGGAGAGGGAGATGGGAGGTTTCCCTGGAGTTATCAAGTCTATGCATGACAGTGGGGCCCCAGATGGTCATTTCTGTTGCAGCTGCACCATGGCCAATCAGTTGGGATAAAATGAGATGTGACCCAAACCTTTACCCCGGCCCTGAACCCGCAGCCTGTCTGAGGATTGATTGAGTTTGGAGATCTCGCCCCATCCCCCCAACTCCTTTTCCTTTACGCTTCATGGTCCCAAATCTCACAAGAAAGTGATTGAGAATATGTGAGTCCACAGGACGGGGCGGGGTGTGTGTGTGTATATGTGACACACACACAAGTATCCAGAGCCAGTTCCCAGTGGGAATAGAAGTGTGTCCATGACATTCACTTTTATTTTTAAATTGAGATCCATTTTCTGTTTGAATGTAAACATGCCCCTGCGAGCTTGGCAACCCAAACACGACAGCACTGGCCTAGTGCAAGGGGGCAGGTGGTGAAAGTGCCTGGAAATAATGGTGACCCTGAGCTGGGTAGATCACAGCTTCTTAACCTGAAGGCTGCAGGGATATCCTCCCACAACTCCCTCTGTGTTCAGCTCCCTAAGAGCCTCTAAACTTGGCAGCCAGCTCGGTACAGGGAAGGAGCTATGCTGACTGCCAGCTGCAGCTGCTCGGCATTCGAAGGACATGGGGGTGGGAGGTGGAACTGAATCTGGATCCTAGGACCACACCTTCCCCTTGTCCAGGGGCAGCAGGATGCCCTGCACAGACCCAGCAGAGGTGTGGAGAGGTTTCTGGGTTTGGGCTGAGCTCAGCAGTGATGTCTGTACCCCCTCAGGGCAGGTCTACAACAGAAAACGCTCTCTCCTGCAGACATGCAGCTCCTTAGTGGTCGGGGTGCTCGTACAGCAGGCAGCATCGCTGG